AGATCATGTGGAGGGTGCTGCAGGGCGGGGAGGGGTGGTGGGGGGGGAGGGGTGGGTGGTGTGTGCGAGTTGCGGTGGGGGGAGTTGAGGACATGGGGGCGAGTAGTCAGGTGGCGGGTGGCGGGGAGATGGGCCGGCCACCGCTGCTGGCACAGCATCGCGCGTCCCCAAGGAGGGCACAGCCCAGGGAGGGGCCTGGCCAGGAGGTGGCGGGGCCCCAGAGATGTGCAGGGGCGCCGCGCACCGCGTGTTTGTGATGGCCAGCTGCTTGGCACCCGTGTCTGGGTCTGCGGCCACCCCCCACTCCCAGAACTTGATGTCGTGGTCGGCGCTGCCGCTGACAAAGCCAGAGGAGTCGGGGAGGGGCGCCAGGGACCACACCGCGCCGGTGTGGGCGCTGCACGCAGGGAAGGGGAGGGGAGGGGGCACGGAGGAGGGTGAGCGGAGTAGAGGAGGACGGGGAGGGCGGGGCACAAATCGCAGCTGCCACGCCACGCCGCAGGCCGGGTCGGGCAGTAGAGAGCACTCGCGCAGGGCCGCAGGCGCGGCGGCTGCCCGCGCGCTGCCGCCATGGCCCGCTGCCGCTGCCGTGGCCGCCGCCGCAGGCGCACCCGACCACCGCGACGCGCGAGGATGTGGCGACGTCGAAGATCTCGATGCCGCCCTCCTTGGTGCCCACCACCGCGTGCCGGTTGCCGGGCGCAAACAGCGCGCACAGGCCGTAGCCGCTGGGCACGGTGCGCAGGCAGGCGCCCGACCGCGGGTTCCACACCTGGGGCCGGGGACAGATGAGGCACAGGTGTGGGAAGACGGCAGGGCCGGCCGGCAGGGCGGCGGCAGCCACGGCGCGCCGTGCATGGGCGAGGAGAGCGCCCGGGCTCGCGCCGCACTCAGCAGCAGGGACGCAACGCAGCCGCCGCTCCCTCATCCTCCACTCCCATTCCTGGCCGCGCCCGCCTGCCCTCCCACCACCCCGCCCACGACGCTACCCCAACCTCAGCCCCGCCACGCCGCACCCAAGGCCCCGGCGCCCACCTTGACGCAGTTGTTGGAGGCGGACAGGAGCAGGGAGTCGTCGCTGGCCAGCGCCAGCGCCCGCACGTCCGAGCGGTGGCCCGGCAGGTCGATGACCTGCGCCCTGTCGGCGGCGCCGCTGGCCCCCGCGCCGCCCTCGCCCTGCTCCCCGCCCTCCCTCACGTCCCACACCTCCAGAGAGTTGTTGGTGAGGGCGAGGACGAGGGAGGCGACGTGGCTGGAGGCCGCGGCGCGGCGCCCCGCGCCGCCGCTCGCCGACGCGGCGGGCACCACCGCACACGAGCGCGCCTTGTGCTTGGAGCGGATGGCGGCCACCAGCTGCAGCTCGTCGCCCGCTGTCAGGCGGTCGGGCTCCTCCTGCGGCGCGGCAGCAAGCGCCAGAGCAGCGGCATGGTACAGGAGCGAGAGCGGGAGCCAGCGCAGGTGGAGGGGCTGCCAGCCCAACACGCAGGGCAGCCCACCCACTGAAGGTGTGGCTGTGGCTCAGGGCAGGCATCGAGAGAGCCTGCGGCGCCAGGCTGCCGCCGCATCTCAGCGCCACGCCTCACCTCGCCCGCCTCCTCCTCGGGCGCCTGCCCCCCCGCCGCCGCCGCCTTCTCCCGCTTCTCCGCCTTCTCCCGCCGCCGCTTGCGCCGCCGCTTCATCTTCTTGGCTGCCTCGGCCTCGCTGCGCACGCGGTACACCTCCGTCACCTTGCCCGCGCTCTGGCACGTCAGCAGCACGCCGCCGTGCGGCCCCGGCACCGACGCGTACCGCACCGTCTCCGCCCGCTCCCCCGCCTGCCGCCGCACGCTGCCCATGGGCGCCAGGAAGCTGCTGCCGGCCGCGGCGCGGCCGCCCCCCTGCCCAGCCGCCTGCTGGCCTGCGCCCGCTGCGGCGCCGGGCGCGTCTGTCATCGCCACGTCATCGCCATCCTCGTCCACCTCAGCATTGATCTGGTACACGCGCAGCTCGGCGTCGGAGGAGCCGGTGGCCAGCCGCGTCTCTGATGGGTCCACATCCAGCGACCACACCTCGCCCCTGCGCCCGTCAGGCACGCGGCCGAGCAGCGCAGGCGAGCAGCTTGTGGGTCACGGCGCAGGCCGAGCAGCGTGTGGGGTCACGGCGACGCGCCCCGACAGCGACGGCTTCACACCAGGAGGCCGGCCGAGGGCAAGGGGTAGCCCACAATTCTCAGCGCTGGCCCCAGTCCCCCCAGCCTGCCCACCCCAAGCATCCCGCCCTGCCCCCACCCCTGGCGCACCTGTGCCCCACCACCGTCTGGCAGCAGTGCTGCGTGTCCAAGTCCCACACCTTGACCTGCTCATCCTTGGAGCAGCTCACCAGCCGCCGGCTGCCGCGCTCCACAAACACGAGGTCGGTCACCTGAGCGGCGCGCGCAGGTGGGCGGCAGGGCGAGGGTGGGCAGGCGCGCAGGCCTGGTAGCAGCTGGGAGGCGTGGCATGGGTGAAAGGTGTGCGCAGGTATCTGTCAGGCACAGCAGCACAGGCCCCAGCGCGCAACCGCAAGCCCCACACGTGCCGGCACCCCCGCCGCCGCGCACCTGCCCCCTGTGTCCCCGCAGGCGGTACAGTCCCGCCTCCCCCGCCACATCCCACACCACCACGTCTGTGTCCTTGGAGCCGGAGGCCAGCAGGGCGCCGCCGCGGCTGAAGCGCAGCGCCGACACCTCCTTGCGGTGGCCGCTGAAGGTGGCGGCGCACTCGCCGCTGTCCAGGTCCCACAGCCGCACCTGCGGCGGGGCGCGAGAGGGGGGAAAGGAGGGAGGCAGGGAGGGAGGGATGACGTGCCAGCAGACCCGCCCCCTGGTCGTGTGGCCTTGCAATGGGGCTGCACAGGCAAGCAGGCGGCACCCCCCCGGGCACCCTCACCGTTCCGTCTGCGTGGCCCACGGCCACCTGGTTGGCGGAGGGGGAGGCCGCTATCTGCGTCACCTCCCCCGCCGCCTTGCCCGACTGCGAGATGGGTGGGGTCAGGGTCTTGGCCTGCGGCGGGCATCGCAGGCACATACAGGAGGACAGGCATCAGCATGCATCTGCTCAGGTGACGCCCGCGGTGGCGGCCGCACCCCGCATGCCCCTCAACCACCCTGCCGACCGCCTGGCAGCCAATGTCGCTGCTGCATCAGCCAGCACTCACCACCACCGCCTGCTTGATGTTCCACACAGACACATTCTCCAGCGAGGCGGTGAGCAGGTGGCGGCCGGAGCGGTCGTAGCACACGTTGCAGCCGGGGCTGTTGATGACGCCCCACGAGCCCGCAAGCTCGTACCGCAGGTAGGCCTTCACCATGGTATGCCTCGCGCTCTACACCTCTTCAGCCCAAGCATGAGTGCCGCAGGCCGGCAGCCGGCGGGTGAGTGGGGCAGCCACCGGCAGCAGCAGGCCGTGGCGGCGGCAGCAGCGGGGGCGGCAGGCGGCTGTGTAGCGGCGACGGCCGCGCTGGCATGCTGTACCTGGTAGAGACGATGCTGGTGTGGCCCGCAGGCTCCTGCAGGCGGCTTTCAGGAACAGGTGCAGCACTGCATGACACCCATCACCGTCGCTGCCGCTTCCCCGCCTTTGGGTGTTGATGCATAGTGCTGACCTCGTGCAGGGTGATGCATGCATGCAGAGACATTGCTGAATTGGCACACGCAGCAGGCGACGCAGGTCGTCGAACTTCTGCTTCTTGCTGCTGCCAGTCGCTGCAGAAACTCTCTCACTCATAGGACAGTATGAGCGGCTTCAAAGTACCAGATCAGCAGTCGAGGAGGCACGGGAAGGGAACAGGAACCTGCTTGGACCGCGTGCCTGTCGCCGTGTTGCGCCTCCAGACCCCGTCAAGAGGACAAAATCCCCTCATAAAATTACAAGTGCAAGTTGCTTAGATCCGCGTCTGAGACCACCCCCTCCATTGCTGCCGCCACCGACCTGAGTTCCCACATGTGGTTCCCTCCACCACCACAGACAGGCACCGAGCCCTCAGACAACAGCTGGGCGAAAACCTTCACATCACAGATCACAAGTGCTGCGCAGACCAGCGTGCAGCGGCCTCCGGCAGCCGCTGCGCCGACGCTCGCGGCGCCGCTTGCCGTCTCGGACCCGGCCCCATCCGCACCCCCGCTGCCGCCGCCAGCCACCAGCCAGCCGCCAGCTGCCCGCCCGCCGTATGCCTGCATGGAGACCCAGGCCAGCTGTGCCAGCTCCTGCGACTACTATGGCGGTGGTGCGGCGGAGACACCGGCAGCCCCACAACCCACCCCTGCCTACCTTCCCTACCCAGACCCAGCTGCTGGCACTGAGGAGGGGCTGGACTCCCAGATGAGCAGCAAGGCATCCTATGGTTACTACGCAGCACCAGCAGCCTACCCAGCCTATCCGCCAGCGGCGCCGTCTTATGGCACACCACCAGCCGGCTACCCGCCGCCAGCTGCTGCTTACATTGGCGCAGTACCGCCGCCGGCGCCAGCTGCTCACTACGGCCCTGCCCCCGCCGCCTACTGTGCACCCGCGCCCCCGGCCTATGGCGCTTACGGGTGCTACAAGCCGCAGAAGCCCTGGAAGCAGCAGCAGCACCACCACCACGGTGCTCTGGGCGGCGCCGCGGCAGTGGGCGCGACTCTTGGCGCTGTCGCAGGGCTGGCACTCCTGTTCGACTGAGCTCAGTCACTGCGTGCCTTGCAGCTGATCAAAACTGCACCCACATGACCTGTTTTGTTTTCCTCGGATCCTCTGAATCAGTGTAACCAACATCTTCCAGTGCGCTGGTTCCTGCGCTGCTCCGGTGGATACTCCACTCGCCGGCAGGCTTGGGAGCTGAGGGGGCAGGCGCTGGTGATTAGCCACCCGGTGAAGCTATATGCGGGTTGGCAACCGCCTCTGGACCGGGGCACGGGCATGCCGGGGGCTCTAGCGCGGCCCTACACACAAAGCTTCGACTGTACTGCAAGGGGATGTACTGCATGCAAGGGCCAGGGCCGTGCTGTCACCGGGCTTAAGGAAGCAGTGGCAGGAGGCCAGAGATCACCGGCAGCTAGCCATAGCGGCGCCATGGTGGGAAGGGAGCCCGATTTCGGCGACAAGTATGAACAGGTGCGGTTGCCGGGCTCGCTGCCTGCAGCGCACATGAAGAAGGTGCCATCAAGTACCGTTGCGCGCCGCAGCTGCGCAGCCGGGCTGGGTTGGGTGCCAGGGGCATAGGCGTGGGCGGCGCGGGAGCGGCCTGCCTGCGCCTGCGGACGGGACCAGCCCCTGCCGTTGTGCATCCAGTCATGCCCTCCTACCTCGCCGGAAGCCGTGGGGTGCTAGCATGGGCTGGCACAGCAGGCGCATCCTCCACCCACCAGCGCTGCTTGTGGGGCTTGTGCCTGCCGCAGGTCAAGTCGCTCGGGCGGGGCTGCTATGGCGAGGCGATGCTGATGCGGGACCGCACCACGGGCCTGCTGGTAGCCATCAAGTACATCGAAAAGGGAAAGGTGGGCGTCAGGAGCGGCTGCGAGCAGGGCAGGACTGCCGCACACCGCCCCCCGACACGTCTTTGCCACCCTTGCACGGGCCGTAATTTGCGCCCCTTGCATGTGGGCATGTGGGCTCCTTGCTTCATGGTTCAACGCATGCACTTCCTCTGCCCTCATCCACCCCTGCAGGTGGATGAGTATGTGCAGAAGGAGATACGCAACCACGTGCAGCTGACAGGGCACCCCAACATCATCCAATTCAAGGAGGTGCGCCACACCTGTGCCCGATGCCGCTGCTGTGCCTGTCCCTGCCGCCGCCATCCAGCGTGCTGCGCTCCATGGGAGGCATGGCGGCTTGCGCCACCGCGCAACTGAGCGGCCCTTGCGCTGGCCGCGGCACCTGTACCCCTGCCACCCCCCTGCAGGCCTTCCTCACCGCCACCCACCTGGGCATAGCCATGGAGTATGCAAACGGCGGCGACCTGTTTGACCGGGTGGTCAGCAGGCGGCGCCTGCCGGAGGACGAGGCCCGCTACTTCTTCTGGCAACTGGTGCAGGGGCTGGCCTGGTGCCACAGCCAGGTGGGCGTGCAGGGCGGGCGCGGCGTATGCACCGTGGGGCTGCGCCTCGCAGCGCCTGACCGCTGCCAGGCGGCCCACTGTGGGCCCCGGGCTGCCCTCTGCCGCTCACCATTGCAGGGGGTGTGCCACCGCGACCTGAAGCTGGACAACGTGCTCCTGGCGGGCGACCCGTCGGCGCCGCAGCTCAAGCTCTGCGACTTTGGCTTCTCCAAGGTGGGGCGGGGTGGATGTGGTGCATGCGCAGCTCAAGTGGTGACCCCCGAGTATGGATTATCGTGCTGCCGCACCAGTGTGGTGCCGGCAGGTCTTTGCTGGGCTTTGCTGGGCTTTGCTGGGCTTTGGTGGGCATGGCGCTTGTGGCGAGCACCTCGCCGACTGGCGCCACGGGTGGTTCCCCCGGCGCCTGCAGTCCCAGCAGCAGGACTCGATGCCCAACACGCTGCTGGGCACGCCCGCCTACCTGGCGCCAGAGGTGCTGAAGGAGGGGGGCGAGAACCAGCAGTACAACGGCGAGCTGGCGGATGTGTGGTCCTGCGGGGTGGCGCTGTACGTGATGCTGGTGGGCGCCTACCCCTTCCAGGACCCAGCAGACCCGGGCAACCACCTGAAGACGTACCGGGTGCGCCGAGTGGCGGACCAGGCAGCGGCAGGGGCGCCTGGGCGCAGCAGCCGGGGCCTGGAGGGCCAACCACACTCGCATCACCCTCCCACACTCACACACGCACACACACAGCCCACTTTTACGCACTCGTTCCCATCCGCCCTGCTCCCTCCTCCTCCTCCACTGCAGCGTATCTTTTCCGTCCAGTACGAGGTGCCCGCCGACGTGGCTGTGTCTGGGGAGTGCCTGGACCTCATCCGCCGCATCCTGGTGCGAGACCCCGCCCAGCGCATCACGCTGCAGCAGGTGCAGCAGCACGCCTGGTACCTGGCGCACCAGGCGGGGCCCGTGCCGCAGCAGCAGCAGCAGGAGCGGCCGATGCAGACGGACGAGGAGATCATGAAGCTGACGTCCATGGCGGCGCAGATGAGCAGCGGTGGGTGCGGCTGGGACACGCGTGCCGCCCGCCCGCCTGCCTGCCCGCCCCGCACGCCTTGCCTTGCCTTGCCTGCCTGCCTGCTGCCCCACCACACGTCCACGCCAGGTAACCTGTGGATGAGCGTGGCTGGCCATCCTGCACTCTTGAGATTCACATCCTTTACACCACCTGCCTGCCTGCCTGGGTGGCATGCAGGCGAGCCAGGGATCTGGAATGAGGAGGACTGCTTGGTTTTCGAGGGGCAGGACAGCCTGCTTGGAGAATGAGCAGCCTGCCGCTCGTGCCGCGCAAATCCCTGCTTTTCCTGCTCATTTGTTTGCTCCTGCTGCCTCTTGCTGCTGTACTTCTCTCTCTCCTCAATTAACTACCTTATTGGAGGAACTCCTTTCAATTTTACACACAACAACAGGAAATGCATTTGATGCAGCAGGGAGGCCGGCAACGTGCCTGAACGCAACGGCGGCGCAAGGCAATAAAAACAAAACAAGAGGGCACAACGGCACAGCGTTGAGTGGCAGGTCACAGGCGTGCGTTGGGGGGCGCATCTGGTGTCGCCTCCTGCCCGGCCGCAGCCGAGTCGCCGGCAGAGGTGGCTGCCCCCCCCCTCTGCCGCATCCCGGCTGCAGACGCTGATGGGCCAGCCGCCAGCTGCGCTGCACCCTCTGGCATAGCCTCCGGAGCACTGGAGCCGCGGGAGCCGTGGGCCGGCAGCCGGGCGCCCGCTGCTGCGTCTGGCTGCTGCTGGTGTGCCGTGGTGGCGGCGGTGGGGGATGGCGGCGAGGAGCGCTGCTGGCTGAGCTGGCGCTTGCGCCACAGCACCCAGGTCAGCATGCCAGCCATGAGCGCGATGAGCAGCGTGTCCCAGTGCGCCACCGGCAGGCTGGGCCCGCTCTGCCGCCACTGCCGCACCGGCACGCCGTCGCCGGCCCGCAGCGCGGCGCCCGCCGCCAGACGCGCGGCGCCGTCGGCGGCGGAGGCCGGCGGCAGGGCGATGGGCAGGTGGGCTGCCAGCAGGCGCAGCAGGGGCCCCAGCAGCAGGCGCACGCGCAGCCACCAGAGGGCGAAGAAGGGCGCCATGGCGTAGCACTCAAAGGGCGCGGTGTGTACCGCCTGACGGTACAGCCGGATGGCCTCGCTCACATTCCGATCCACGCCGAGCCCCTGCTCCCGCAGCCGCCCCAAGGTGTACAGCGCCTCGATGCTGCCCGCTGCAGCGGAGCGCTGGTAGAGCTCCACGGCGGTGGCGATGTCGGTGCCTGCGGCAGGCAGCACGCGGGCGGGGGTCGGGCTCGGGAGCAGCGGGGTGCGGGCCAGCTGCTGAGGGTGCTGCTGCCTGGCCGGCCTGGTTGGAGGGAGTGGGCAGAGAGGCTTGTGCCCGCAGCATGCCGCCCCAGCTCGTGCACACGCTGCCCCAGCACAACCGCCTGGCTGCTGCCTGCCTCCCTGCCCCGCCCCACCCCCACCCTCACCTCCCTCCAGCCCCCACTTGTCGCCCTCCCACAGCACATGCCCCGCCATGTTCATGCCCTCCGTCTGGTTGCGCGCCGCTGCGCGCAGCCACAGCGGCAGCGCCAGGCGGTGGCGGTCGGCGCCGGGGTACGCCTCTCCGCGGTGCAGCAGCCAGGCCAGGTTCAGCTGGGCCAGCGAGTTGCCCTGCTCGCACAGCAGTGCGTAGCGCACGGCGGCGCCCCAAGGGTCGTGCTCTGCGGGGCGGGAGGGAGGGCAGGGTGGCACAGGCGGCGAGGGGAGGGTCAGCGCGGACACACTGCAACCTGGGCGGCACGGACAGCGCCCAGCTGGTGCGCGTGGCAGGCTGCACACCCTGGTCCCTCTCGCCCAAACACGCATGCACGCACGTCGCCTGCATGGGCCCGGCAGCCCGCTGTCTCACCCGCCACCCGGTCTGCCGCCACCTTGCCGCTCTCCTTCCAGCCGCCCGTCATGGCCATGAAGTGCCAGAAGTAGCGCAGGGCGAGGGTGTAATTCTTGGGGGCGCCGTACAGGCCGTCGGCATACACCTGCGGGGGGTGGGGTGGCGGCGACCGTGAGGCAGGGATGGCTGCGGTGGTGGCGGGGCTGCGCGAGAGCGCCGGCCGCCGATCGGCGGCAGCCATGGCTGGCTGCGCACCATGAACAGCTGGTGCGGGGCGCGCCACGACCCCAGCTCCGTTGCATTCTTGAACAGCGCGATGGCGGCGGTCATGTTGCGATCCACGCTGTACCCGCCCTGCAGGCGGCGTGGGCGGGGTTGGGGTGGCGTGGGTTGCGTGGATTGCGTTGCAGGGTGAAAGCAGGGTGGGTGGGTGGGTGGGTGAAGAGGGGAGCGAGGGGCCCGAGGGGGGCAGCGATGCGGCACGGTGCCTGCCTGGTGCATGGTGCCCAGGTTGTACGCCGCGTCGTGGTCCTGCAGGGAGGCCAGCTGGAAGTAGCGGTACGCCTCGCTCATGTTGACGGGCACGCCCTGGCCGTGGAAGTACAGCACGCCTGCGGGGGGTTGTGTGTGTGGAGAGGTGGTGAGGTGGTGAGGTGGTGAGGTCGTATGTGTGTGTGTGCGGTGGTGGGAGGGGGTGGGCAAGCGTAGTGTCTCGGGAGGGCAGGGGCAAGCCCCCGGCATGCAGAGCACAGGCCTGGGCAGGCCGCGCGCGAACGGCGGCGGCGGTGCCCCTCCTCACCCAGGCCGTTGAGCGCCGAGGGCAGCTTCTTGTCGGCTGCGTCCAGGAAGTGCTTGCGCGCCTGGGTGTAGTTCTGGGGGCAGGGACCAGGGGGGGCGGGAGGCGTGGGTGGCAGGCAACGGCGCTGGCATGTGGACCAGACGCACGCATCGGACACCACCACCACCACCACCACCACCAACAACAACAACAACACAGCAGCACACACGCACGCAGCACACGCGCGGCGCCGGCCCCCCACCTGCTCCACATGCATGCCCCGGATGTGCATGAAGCCCAGGTTGAACATGGCGTAGGGGTCGCCGCCCCGCGCCGCCACCTGAAACTCGCGGTACGCCCCCGCCAGGTCGCGCGGCATGCCCTGCCCCATCAGCATGCGGAAGCCAAGCTGGCGGTGCGCCTCCACGTCGCCCCTGCGGGCAGGCGGCAGGGCGCAGGCAGCGAGCGAGCGGGTGGGGGCGAGCGGGGGAGCGAGCCTGGGTGCGGGAGCGGGCGCGCCGGCAGGGAGGCGTGCACAGGGCGGGTTGGGACGCGGTGGGTAGGCAGCCAGGCAGCTGGGCAGGCTGGGCTGCTTGCTGCTGCTGCTGGTACGGCGGTTTGCTGCCCACCTGGCCGCCGCGTCCTGCTCCAGGTGCAGCGTGTTGGCATCCTCCCACACGTTGGTGGCGGGCAGGTAGGATGAGTCCATGAACTTGCGCCGCAGGTGGCCGCCGCCCTCGCTGCGGGGGCCGGGGAAGCGGGAGGGGGGAGGTAGGGGCGGGCGCGGTGGGCGGGGCTCGCGGAGTGCATGTGCCCAAGGATGGCGGGGCAGTGTTGCCCAAGGATGAAGGGGGCAGGGCGGGGAGGCGAGGTGCAGGCGAGAGGCAGGCGAGGTGCAGGCGGGAGGCAGGCCGGATGCACTGGGAAGCCCCACCTGTTGATGTTGCCGCTCTCGTCCAGCAGCACCAGCAGCTCCGGCCCCGCCAGCTTGGCGTACCCCATGCCCTCCTCCATCAGTTGCGGTACGCCCCGCCCCGTGGTGTACCGCTCCGCCAGCGCCAGCCGCGCCTCGATGCTGCCGCCCAGCGCGGCGCGGTGCAGCGCGTGCACGGCGGCGCTGTCGTTGCGCGGCAGGCCGTGCCCCGCGCCCAGGCCAGAGGCCAGCAGGCAGGCCAGCGTGAAGGCGGCGTCTGACAGCGGCGCCAGCTCCGGATGCTCGGTGAGGTTGAGCGTGGGCGGGGCGGGCGGCGGCGGCGGCGACTCGCCGGCGGCGGCGGCGGTAGAGTTGGCCGCGGCGGCCGCCGTGCCGGCGGCCTCCTCCATGCCTGCAGCGGCTGAGGTGACAGTATCGTTACTGCCCACAGCGCCTGAGCTGTCGGCGTTACTGCCGGCTGCCTGGGCTGCTGTGCCGTTGGCGACCCCACCGTCTGCCGCCGCTGCTGCTGCTGCCACTTCAACTGGTGGCGGCGCGGGTGGTGGTGGCGGCGGTGCGGTGAAGCGCCGGCGCCGGCTGACGCTCTCGCCCAGCGCGGCATCGATGTGAGCATCCAGCCTGCAAAACAGGCCGGCGGTCGCATCATCGTCACCGCTGGCTGCGCAGTGCTGGCTTTGCCTTGCACTCAACACTGCGGTGGCATCCGGCCCCGGCCTGCTCAGCCCCCCAACACCCCCCACCCAACAAGCCCCCCCGCAGGCCCCACCTGGCAAACATGGCCTGGAGGAGGGCGATGCCCGCCGCCACATCCACGTGGTCCTCATCCAGCGCCCACCCCACCAAGTCCTCGGCCTTCTGAAGCTGCGCCTCCGCCTCACGCAGCCGCTCCCGGCGCGCCGCCTCCGCGGCACGCTGCGCCTCCTCCCGCCGCAGCTCAGCCGCACGCTCCGCCTCCTCTCGCTGCTGATCCGTCGCCGCCGCCGCCAGGGCCTCTGCCTTCACCTCAACCTCCACTCTGCGCCGCCGCTCAGCCTCCGTCTCAGCTTCTGCCACCGCCTCCTGTGCTGGGGCAGACTCGGTGGCTGAGCCTGAGCCTGCAGCCTGCTCTGCTGGCGCTGACGCGGGCTGCTCCTGCTGCACCTCTGCTGCGACATGCGGCTGCTGCTCGGCCGCCTGCTCCTGCATGCTCGGCTGCTCCCCCTGAACCTGGGCAGCCAGCTGCTGCTGCTCGGACTGCTGCACCGCTTGTGAGGCGGGCTGCTCCTGCTCCTGTGTCGAGGGAGCTGCTGCTGCCACTTCTGCTGCCCCCCCCTCAGGCTGCTGCTCCTGCGGCGGCTGCTCCTCTGGAGGTGCAGGCACCTCACCAGCGCCAGCAGGTGCAGGGCCCTCGCCGGCAGCGCCCTCCACTGGCGGCCATGCCACATCTGCCTCGCCTGCCGGCGCCTCCAGCGCCTGCCCTGCTGCAGCAGCCTCGGGCATTGGTTCTGGTTCTGGTGCCGCTACCTGTGCATACGGCGCCGCCACAGTCTCGTCGGCTGCCGGCGCTGTGACAGTCGTCTCGGCTGCTGCATCTGTCCCAACCGCACTGTCTGTAGGTGTAGCGCTGTCTGCAGCTACTGCAGGGCGCCGGTGCAGGCTGTCCCCAATGAACACTCCCTCGCCAACTCTGTCTATGATGCCCGTGGGCTGCTCAGCGCTGGTGTGCGGCGTCGTGGGCTGAGCACCTGCGTCGCCAGCACCACTCGCCTCTTGTTGGGCCACGCTGGCCCCTCCTTCCTGGCCCCCCGTGGCTGCGGACACCTGCAGCCAGTAAATTCAAGTGTGTCGACGACGGCGGTCGTCGTACTAGAGCTCCGCTCGGCGGGGCAGTGCCAGGTGCAGGGGGCATGGCAGGCCAGCACCGCAGGAACGAGTAGCGAGGGCTGGCAAGGAAGCGTCATCAGCAGCTTGCCAGGGCAAGAGAAGCAAGGGAAAGCTTGCCTGGGATGAGCCCTCGGCATGTGAGGCGTGCACCGTGGCCAGCAGCAGCAGTGCTGTTAGCAGTCCCGCGCTGCGGGGTCTCATGATTCGCGGTGCGGGGGCTCAGACCGTGTTGGGGGGTGCGTTGGTGGGGGCCTGCTCGATGAGCTCTGCACGCGCCTGTTGGCGTCCCCAGCACCGCCCCTCGACAGTGCAAGTGCGAGACGGCTGGAGAAGCTCGATTCATGCAATACTGCCAGCGCATCCGCCATCGGTGAACGGGTCCTCCACCAGCAGCCCTTCTCATCACAATCGTCTGCAAACCGTGTCGAATTGCTGCCAGGATGCCCGCTGCCACCGTGCTCTCTGCGCAGCCGCTGGCTCCGACGGCAGGAGTCCGCTGCTTTGCCAGCCCAGCGCGTCCAGCTCGCCTGGGCAGGCTGCCGAGGCCAGCGGCGCAGCAGGGAGAGCAGCAGATAGCGGACACAGAGGCTACGCCACAGGCCGCCGCGGCGCCGCCACCCGCTGCGGCGCCCTCCACCACGCCACCCCCGCCCCCCGAGGAGCCTGGCAGCAGGAAGGGCCTGCTGGCAGGTGGAGCGGTGGGCCTGGGCGTGGGTCTGTTCCTGGCGGCGCGGCTGACGATGGGCGGTCCCTCATTTGCGGCGCTGGAGGCCGACGCTGTTCCTCTGGACCAGGCCCTGGCAAATGGGCGGCCCACCGTGCTGGAGTTCTATGCCGGTGAGCCAAGCGGGAGTGCATAGGAAAGGGAGGGCGGACACCACTTATTTCTTGCTCATGCCAGGTCTCTGCCTTTCTGTGTGCGGCTCGGAGGGCTGTACCTCGCCGTTTGCCACTCAACCTCCCTGGGCCCTGGCCCGCACCCCCGCCGCAGACTGGTGTGAGGTGTGCCGCGAGCTGCTGCCCGCGACGTACGAGGCGCAGCAGGCATACAAGGGGCAGCTCAACTTTGTCGCTCTCAATGTGGAGAATGCCAAGTGGGCACCCGAGCTGCTGGAGTACAACGTCAAGGGCATCCCAGAGGTGGGGCGGGCCAGGCGCGGGTTGGTGTGGGTACAGGTTGGGGGTGGTACACCTGTAGGTTGGAGTGCGGGCTAAGGATAGGCGAGGCGATTAGGCCAGTGGCAGCTGGATGCTCTCCCCCTCCCTCGCTGTGTGCGAGAGGCAGTCCATGCGCAGCGGGCGTCGTGCCGGCCACCCTCTTGCATCTGGTGCTCATGGCGCCCCGCCGCCTTCCTCCACGCAGTTTGTGTTCCTGGATGGCAGCGGCAAGCCCGTGGCGGCGGCGGTGGGCAAGCTGCCCAGGGAGGTGCTGGCCGGCAACACGAGGGCGCTGGCGGAGGGCGCGCCGCTGCCGTATGCACGCATCCAGGCGGCGGGAGCCTCCTCGCTGCAGCGGCCGGAGGGCGCCATGGCGGGCCCTCGTGCCATGGCAGGGCCCCTGGACCACTCGTGAAGTGGGGTTGGCATGGGCGCAGGCAGCGAGCATGGGGGCCAGGCTGATGCCTCGCGGTCTGTTGGGCTATGTAGGATTGTGACTGCCCGTTTTTGCTCTTCAGATTTTATCTTGATATTTCGTTTTGGTTTCCAGCCATGTTCAGGCGAATGCACGTACCGCTGTATGAGTGAGACATATGATAATCCAGATACGTAATGGAATATATGTGAGCTGAGTCTGGTTTGAGGACAGAGTTAGTGGCACAAGTAGACGAGGGTGTGAGATTACAGACAGGGTGCAGAGGCTACGCCTCCACCACTGGTAGTCCCAGCGCCTGCAGCTGCCGCAGGGTGCCCTGCGGGCTGGTGTGGTGAATGGCCTGCCAGCCGCGGGCCGCCGCCGCCGCTGCGTTGTCTGCTCGGTCGTCAATGAAAGCGAGGTCGGCTCCCTGCAGCCCCGCCAAGCGCTCTGCCGCCTCGTAGATAGCTGGGTCTGGCTTGAAGCTGCACACCTGCGCACGGCACTCCGGCAGCAACATCAGCAAGGCACCTGGCTGGTGCTGGCCATGTATGAGATTGGGGCCGTGCAAAGCATGATGCGCCAAGCAGCGCCCGTAGGCCCAACGCACTTCATAGCTCAAGCAGAGCCCGGCGAAGCTGGCCATGAAGGGGTGGCGCCGCCGCACGTCATCAATGTGCAGGCCGCTGCAGTTGGACAGTAGGTAGGTGGGAACCCCTTCGATGGCAAGCAGCTGCTGCTGCGCAATCATGGGCGGGATGGCGGTGAATATGTCGGCGTACAGCTGGGCAAATGTGGCATAATCAACTTGCAGGCCTGCATGGCGGGCAGCTGGACAGCAATCAGTGGCCAAGAGCTGGGAGCAGCCTGACCGTAAGGAGTGCAGGCAGTCCCCATCCACGCGCCTCAGCTCACCGCTGGCCTCCACCACCGCTTCGTAAAACTGCTGGTTGGTGAGGGCGCCCCGCTCCAGCTGCTCGACAAGCGAGCGCCCGCCCCACTTGTCCAGCAGGCCGGTGGGCTGCGCAGCGTGGCCAAACAGCTCCAGCAGCACCTCCTGCAGCACCAGCAGCAGGGTCAATGTCTACGTCCTATGGCAGGCGCTCTGCTGCCTCTGTGGAAGGAGCCTGCCGGGTCGACTCTTGGCGGCAGTACCTGTTTGGTCCGTGAGGGCGCTGTGCAGGCTTCCGACAGCCGTCTCGATGATCTATGGAAGTCAAAGTCGAGCAGTACCTTGCCCAGATCGAAAATGACGGCCTTGGGCATGCTGCCACACAGCACAGCGCAACGTACTCGCCGCCGGCCTGCTGGTGGCACCACTCTCAGTGGGCTGGGTGGGGAGCGCACACATGCCGACCGCCTGGGGAGGCGGCGGTGGGCGGTGGGGACGTGCAGCATTGACATCAGCATGCTCGCAGGCAATCCATCCATTGCATGGCTCGTGGAAATGGCCTGTGTGAGCAGCCAGCCTTTGACTGTGCGAGCAGCCCCGGCCAATTTGCAGCGCAACTCACCCTGATGCACAAGCCATTGTGTGGGAGGTAAGAGCAAGCAACATGCCGCAATAAGCAGCGGCTTGGAATGAAAAATGGGCCATGTGCTTTGAGTGCTGGGGTTGCCCTGCTGGAGGTTCACCAAGGATGCTCAGCCGCACGCATTGCCGGGCATTGCGATCGAGTGGCTGAAGGCACCTGAGCAGTAGCAAAATGCTGCAGGCTACTGCCCCAGCCATTCTGCGCTCACCTCCTGCCACCGCTGTTTGGGCCAGGAGGGATCGCACAATGCGGAGCCCATCGCCGATCGCAGCATCCAGCGATTTTCAGGTGGGTCCCCGCCCCCCAGCGGCGGGCGGCGTCGGACCGCCGAGTGCCGTGCCGCCTCCGCCCCCATCCCGCTGTGTGTTGTTGTTGCTGGGCTGGCCCCCTTGAACCACCTTTGCTCGATCCCACGACGCCATCTTGTGCTCGCCGCTCAGGGCTGCATGGAGCCGCTGCCTCTGGCGGTCAAGGTGGTGGGCATGGGCAGCAGCGGGCAGGACCTGCTGGCCCAGGTGGCCGCCTTCCCCAGGCCCGACGACAAGCTGCGCACGGAGAAGTTTGAGGCACAGGTGAGAGAAGGGAGGGGCGCACAGCTCTTGTGGGCCGTTGACGCACGTGGTGGGGATTGTGGCTGGTGTTGGGGCTCTGTCCCGCCGGCCTGGCTGATGGTGTGGGCTGCTGGCGCTGGCCGCCCACCTCCCTCTCCACCCCTCCGCTGCCAACCTCCCTGTGGCCCCAGGGCGGCGGCAACTGCGGCAACGCGCTGACGGCGGCGGCGCGCCTGGGGCTAGCCCCCACCATCGTGAGCAAGATTGGCGGCGACGGCTTGGGGGATGGCATACTGGCTGAGTTCCGGCGGGACGGCGTTGACACAGCCCACATGCTGCGCGCCCCGGGGGCCCCCTCACCCTTCACCTACATCATCGTGGACCGGCAGGGTGCGCCTGCGCCGGCACCCCAGCGCCCCGCGCCGACCACTGGCAGCCGTGCCACGCATGCCGTCCTGCCGCCGCGCCTGGCGGGCCTGCCGGGGTGCCAGCTCACGCCGTGTGCCGCTGCTGGGCCATGCAGCTTGTGACCTGCCGCCGAGAGCTAACCGCCCCGCCCGCCTGCCTCGCATCGCCCTGCGCCTCGCCTCAACCACGTGCCGCTGGCTGCAGGCGGCACCCGCACTTGCATCCACACCCCCGGCGAGCCCATGGCGCCTGAGGAGCTGACTCCAGAGCTGGCCGCCGAGGTGCTGCAAGGTGCGGCGGCCATCTACTTTGACGGTCGGCTCACCGAGGCGGCGCTGGTGCTGGCGGCGGCGGCCAGGGAGCGAGGCGTGCCTGTGCTGGTGGAGGCGGAGCGGCTGCGCCCAGGTGGGCAGCCGGGGCGGCGCCGGGGAGGTGGGGGGAGGACCGCGCCAGCGAGCCGTCCCCAGCACAGCGGTTGCCGTCGTGCTGCGCCCCCGGCAGCAGCACAGCTCTCACTGGCGCAGCATGCATGCTCAGCCACCAGCGCCACATTCCCCCTGCCTCAGCTGCGCGGCACCCGCCTGCAACGAGCCCGCTGCCGCCTGCAGGCTTGGAGCAGCTGCTGGGGCTGGCAGACTTTGTCGTCAGCTCGGCGCACTTCCCGCAGGGGTGGACTGGGGAGCAGGGCCTGGGTGATGCGCTGGTGGCCACATTCAGGTGGGGGCTGCATCAGTGCCGTGCTCGTCACCTGGTGCTGCGCCTGGTGTGGTGGGCAGGGCAGGGCAGGCAGCCCGCCGTTTGTTTGGAAGGCGGCACGACCCCTGATGCCCGCCGGCCCGCCGGCCTGGCCTGCACCTTGCAGCCGCCTGCCCCGCGCCCGGTGGCTGATCACTACTCTGGGCAGCCGCGGCAGTGTACTGCTAGAGCGAGGGGAGGCGGCGGAGGCTGTGGGGGCGTCGGGGCTGGAAGATTTGCTGCCGCAGCTGTTTGAGGAGGCAGCGGCGACGCAAGCAGCCCAGGGCACACCACAGTCTGCGCCCGCCTGCGTCAGCGCCAGCGGCGTGGCCATCCACACTGGCGGATCTGCCTCCACCAACGGTGTGCTTTCCCTGCGGCTGCAGCGCAGCGAGGCAGAGTCGCAGCGCGTGATGGCGGCGGCGCAGGCGGCGGCCAGCGCCGCGGCCGCTGCCAACGCCGACGCCGGCAACGCCGCGGGGTATGCCATGCGCAGCCCCTGGCCGCGCGCTACGGATGGCGGCAGCGGTGGCTGCGGGGCTGCGGGGGAGGTGTGCGCGCGCGTGACGGCGGTGCAGGCTGCACGGCTGCCGCCAGGCGCGGTTGTGGACACCACTGGGGCAGGCGATGCCTTCATCGGCTCCATCCTGTATGGGCTGGCCACCGGCATGCCCGTGCAGCGCGCCATGCAGCTGGCGTCGGTGGTGGCGGCATGCAAATGCACGGCGCTGGGGCCTCGCCCGGGGCTGCCGCACCGCGCCAACCTGGCGGCCAGCCTGCTGGGGTCCTGATGATTGGTTTTCAGGAAGCATGCATGAGTGCCTCCTCAACTTCTGTTGCCCATTTCATTGATGGATGGAATTTTGATGTGGAAAGGACTGGTGGTACTGCAGTGAAGCCAGCTGAAGGCAAGGGCAGCGCTCAGCTCATAGCACTAGCTCCTCTTCCTGCCATAGCTATAGCTGTGCTGGTCTTACCCTCACCGTCCTCCAGTCCATGTGCTTAGTCCTGCCAACAAACTAGCAGGCTCTCAGCAGCCCACAACCAACCCAGGAGTGCGGCCAACGAGCCGTTCAAGGGGTCCAAGGTCGTCCGAGGGGTGGGGAGCCATCGCCAAGGTCGCCACCACCTGCTGCCGGCCTCCACGCCGGGCGCTCTGCTCCAACCCACCCCCCTGTGCCCTGCCTTGCCGCTCCGGCGATCCCCAGCCTGCCTGACTACACACAGGCTCTACATTCCCCCCCGCAGCCCTTGCCAGCCCGTGGCACTGCTCCCCGTGCCGCAGGCCAGGATGGCGGCCCGAGCGCTTGCGGCAGTCCTGCTCATCTGCCTGCTCGTGCCTGTCGCCCCGGCCAACGTTGAGCTGAAGTGCCGCATTGTGACAGCCGATGTCGTGAATGTGAGGGAAAAGCCGTGCGTTGACGCCAAGATTGTGGGCCAACTCAAGAAGGGTGAGAAGGTAACTGGCTCTGCATCGCCTGGGCTTGCCATGTGCAGCACTCCCGAGCGGCACAGCATGGCTGCTTGTCCCACACTGTCCGCTGTGCTCTGCGCCTGTGCTGCAGGTGAACCGAATCGGCAACTTGCTGCTGGGGAAGCGGTGCGGATTCGTGTGGGAGCCTATCAAGGGAAAGAAGGAGCTGGCCGGCTGGGTGGCTTCCGACTTCCTGGATGAGTGCCCCTAGCCAGCCAAGCAGCGGTGTTGGTTGGGCAGGACACTTCCCAGTCATGACATCGCTCCGGCTGGCACCCTGTTTGCCTTGGCTTGAGCCTGCGCCTGGGACACTTCCATGCATTAATGTGATCACTGAAACTCCGAGGCAACAACATCAAACAACGAGGCAACAAATCAAACGAAATCAGGACTGAGCAGGCACAGATCTCTAGAGTACAAGATGGAGGAAGGCCAGCCTTCAGGGGAGCAGCAGGCGGGAGATGACGTATCTCCGGATCTCTTCCTTCATGCCAAACGTCACGTCCAGGTGCCCCACATTCTGAAACCGTTTGAACGTGACCTGCACCCGCATGGCGAGGCTGGTCCGCCTGGTTCAGCGCCCAGGTGCTGCATCTGCTGCATGCGGGCACCCCAGGCAATGCACGGGGCCGGCTCTCCACCTGCACGCCTGCCGCCCGCATCGCCTCGTAGTGGGAGTGCACATCGACCTCAGCGATGATGCCATCACTGCCCCCTGCCACCAGGTCGACGGGTAACCCCTGCGGTGCACACACCAGGCCCACAGGCAAGTCGCGCTGCAGGCAGGCGAGAGCAGATGCAGGCCGGAGCCACCCTGCTGCAACACGCAAGCAGCAGCAGCCACCTGCAGCAGGCCATAGCTGGCGGCCACGTCCAGCGGCGTGTCCTGCCCGTAGGCCGCCCTGTTGGCGGCAGCGGAGCCGTAGTTGTACATCAGGAAGCGGCGGGTCCGGATGAGCTGCACGCACGGCGTGCATGTGTGGTGGGCAGCGGGGTAGACGTGATTGGGGGCAATGCATGCAGCACAAGAAGAGAGCAGCGGGAGCGGGAACGGCACGCAGGGGGGCACCGTTTAGAACAGGCACCGCAGGGTCCTCCCCACCTGGATGAGGTGCGCCCCCGTGTGCAGGCTGATGGCGGGCATGCCGTAGGTGTTGTAGTGGGGCATCTGGGATGGGGGGCAAGGTGGGAGCGGGAGAAACGGAGAGCAATGAGGTGTGGTGTGTGGGCATGTGGCACACACCAAACCAGGCGGCGCCCACCTGCAGCGCGCGGTCCCACTCGCTCTTGTCGCCATTCAGCATCAGCCGCAGCGCGGCTCTGATCAGCTCGTTGAGGCCTGGGATCTGCTGCAGGTCGTGGCTGAACTTGAAGGCGATGTAGCGCAGCAGGGAGCTGGGGATGTAGACCGGGGCTCCCACGCCGGGCAGCACCCAGGACAGTCCCGCCATGAGCAGAGGCACCAGGTACACAAAGGGGAAGGCGGCCTGCGGTGACAGGGCCACGGTCAAACAGGCACGTGCTGAGCATGCTGCTTGGATCCCCATGAGCAAATCAGCAAAGCAGCTGCGCTGCCACCCACCGAAGGGTAGTTTGCGTGGTAGCCGGCAGGAGTGAGCAGCACCATGCGCCGCAGGTGGTGCGGGCGCCCCGCCAGGCCGCAATACACGGCATAGATGAGCAGGGAAGCGCCGCCCAGGCTGTGCCCCACCGCCCTGAAGAGACAGGCAAAACAAACACATGAGGTTGTCACAGCTTGCGGCAACGTAAGTTACCCTCGAAAAAAGCCATGCGCAAGCAGCGAGACGGTGCTGGCGGCACATGGCTTGCCTGAGGCGGTATGGTTCGGTGCCGCAGCCAGCAGCAACAGGTACGGCTGCCGGCAGCCGTGGGGTGGCGGCGCTCCAGTTGCTTGCACTGGGGGTGGGCAGCAGCAGTGGCGTGGATGCTGCACACATGTGCGCCGGCAGGGGCATCAGCGAGAGGGGGCAAGTGTGCCCCCAGCACCAGCTGTGGCTGGGCAACCCTCCACACAAAATCAAGAGCTCTTTGCTTTGCCGCTCCGCAGTGTAGCCTACCTGCTTCTGCCTCGCCCGGCTGCTCCACCCCGCTGACAGCAAACTTGTCAGGCGTCAGCGCCTGGCGCTCAGCAGCGGGGAGACGGGGGGTCAGGGCCGGCGGCGTGACAGCCGCGGCCACAGCCGAGCCAGGGAGGCTGCTCAGGCTCCTCAGCGGGGGAGCGATGCGCTGGCTGCTCGCTGCAGCGCTGGGCTGCCTGCTGGGCACAGGAATGCCAGGGGCTGGCGGCCCCGGCCCCAGCTGTGAACTGCTGCTGCTCCCGTCCAGCCCCAGATCCAGCGAATTCGATGCACGGAAGGCCGACCCTGGGCTGCCGCCGTCATCGACGCCGTCGCTGCTGCAGCTGGGCTTGCCAAACTCAGCAGGCTGAGCTGGTTCCTCCGCAGCATCAAACCACTGGTTGCCCTCTGTCGAGGCAGGAGCCTGCACACCGCCAGCACCCGGCGAATCGCTCGCGGGCTGCTGCTGCTGCTGGCGAGCTTGGGCGGGGGCTGGTCCGGCATGCCTGCCAGACTGCCGCCAGGCTTTCTCCTGCAGGCAAGCAGGCCCAGTGCTGGGTAAGGTGCTGCCCACCAGGCACAGTGGCAGCAGCACGTGCAGCTGCTCATTGGGCGTCCGCCCAGCCACTCACCCCGGCAGCACGCGCGGTGCTGGGCCCCGCAGGCCGGCGGGGCTCCTCCCCTGCTGCGGACGGCAACTGGACACGAAGGCCCAGCCGCCGCATGCGGCGGCGGAAGCTTTCCACGTCTGGCCCACCATCCAAGCTGGCTGCACAGGACAGCAGCAGGCATCAGCAGATCCACAGGTGACACCAGCCTGGCGCTACGCAGGCACCACTGCAAACAGCAGACTGCAAACAGCAAGAGTTGGATGGCATCCACTCGCCTGAGTTGCGCCTGCCTGAGGGCGAGGGCTCTCCCTGTTGCTGTTGCTGCTGCTGTTGCTGATGGTGTGCTCCCGCTCCTGGCGAAGCGGGTCTTGCAGCCTCGCTGGCCTCCGCCTCGGGTTCGCCAAAAGGGGAGGGGCGCAGCAGGTGCATAGCCGACACAGCAGAGTCGCTGTATGAGCGGCGCAGCCTGCAGGTGGGCAGCCGGGACGTGCCCGCTCATCTTCCAGCATCTCCAGCAAGCGCCAGCGGCACCGGCCAGCAGCCAGCCAGCATGCAAGGCCCAGCGGTCGCCCTGGCCGCCCACCCACCCAGCCGGCGCTCCCAATGATGCGGCACGCTCCATGGCGCCGCCGGCCTGGCCGTAGCCGCTGCCGGGGCGCAGCTCCCGCATCTTCACAGCATGGATCTGGGCTATCTGCAGGCAGGCAGGGGCCAGGCACTGGCAAGCGGCCACAGCGGGCCAGGCAGCATATGCCAGCACATTGTGCAGAGAGCTGCACAACCAAGCAGCACTATTTAGGGCCATTCCTGGGCATCCTTCCTGGCAGGCGGGCCCCCCACCTGTGCGGCAATGTCCTGTGTGCCCAGCTCATTCAAAGAGTAGTTCCAGTAGCGGCTGCCGCCCAGCCTGGGGTTGGCGTGCATGCGCGGCGGGTTGCTGCGCGCGTTGCCCAGCCACACGTCGTGGCCCTGGTCCCACGCGGCAAACGCCTGGCTGCCCTGCAGGGCGTCCCAGGCGCACCAGCAGGGTGTGGTGGCAGCACGTGGTCATCTCGGCGCCGCTCCCAGGCTGGCCAAAGCGCAGACTGCTTGGGTGTGCACCGTGCGGCCAGGCAGGCCTGCCTGCGGCCTACCTGGATGCCGTTGGACACCCAGCCCAGCGAGGTGTCCAGCACGCCGTGCTGGAAGAACACAGTGTCGCGTGAGCCTGCAGGCACCAGCGCACGGTGGGCAGGGTGGTCACACGCAACACGCTTAGCGGCGGGGTGGCCGCTGCGGTGCAGCACCAAACCAGGCTCGGTATTGGGGATGGGAGGAGGCTGTGGCGGCCACCTTTGCGGGGGATGCGCTGCATGTGCAGTATGCAGCCGTCCTCGGTGGTCACCACATGCTCCTCCAGCGGGTAGCCGGCCTGCAGGTGGCGGTACAGGGCGAGCAGCTGGAGGCTCAAGAGGGCTGGGTTGGGGGTGGAAGTGGGTGCTCTGCCCCTGTGACCGGCCCCCCTCGACTTGCCTGCAGGATGCAGTCACTGACGGTCCAGACCTGGAGATCCTCCAGCACGCCAAAGCTGCGGGTGCGGGCCGCCCTGAGGCTCCGCTGCCGCGCCCTGCCGCGCGTGGCCCGCCGCTCGCCGCCAGTCCAGTCGCTGAACCAGCTGCTGCCGTGGTAGCCCCCCGCCGGCTCCCACTTGGGCCTCTTACGCAGCAGGAGGAGCGCTCGCACGCTGGTGCGCACCGCATCGAAAACAATCGTCACCGCAAGCTCCAGCGCAATGCGGCCCTCCTCCAGCAGCCCCCGCCGCTGCATGCCCTCCGCCATGGCATACCCTGCACCCCGAGAACCGGTGAAGCCACTCAGCCAGGCGTGCCACAAAGCACCAAAAAGCACGTGCCTCCAATGAATGCTTGCTACCATTGAGCGGCACGGACCCCGGGGCCACCCAGTAGTGCATCATCACCTGAGGGGCGGTCAAACAGCTCGCTGCCGCTGCGGCGCATGCGTGGAGGCGACAGCCCAGGAGAGGAGCCCAGCTTCTCGTGGCTGTTGCCGTGGCTGCTGCTGCCTGCCGCCCTCCACTTTCCAAAGGGCCAGCGCAGGAAGCCCAACCAGCGGCGTCGGCGGCGAGGCAGCGCCAGGATGCCACCTGCTGCATGAAGGCGCTCCGCTGCCAGCAGGATCTCCGTCTGCCGCTGCTGCTGCTCATAGAGAAGGCGCTCGGAAGAGCCAAAGACCCGCGCCAGCGAGCCTGCAAGGCAAACACATGTGAGGCCTTGTACTCGCAGGGGAAGCCAGGCAGGGAACAAGCCCAAGCCACTGCTGGGATGGCTGGGCGGTGGCATGGTGTAGCGGCAGCAGTGTTCACAGTGGCTGCAGGTGCGCACCTCGAGGGGTCCAGATGGGCGGTCCAGGGGAAGGGGTGGGCGAGGGCGACGCGCGGCTGCGCGCCACCAGCCCATCCCTCTCCACCACGGCGTTGAATGTGCCACGGTGCGCCCGCTCCGCCCACCAGCGCTGCAGGGAGGGGCAGGCAGGGCAGGGTGTGCCTCCCGCCAAGGCCAGCAGCAGACGCACGCTGTCGCAGCGCACATGGGGGCGGCAGCGCAGCGAGCAAGCCGCAACTTGCCTGCCAGGCTGTGGGCCGCCTGCGTCCCGCCCGCATGGAGTCATAGTAATTGGGGTCCACAAACAGAGACACAGCCTGGGCGGACAGGCCATTGATCGCGCGCGCCATCCAGGCAAAGCTCTCCCGCACCGAAACTCGTACCGCCTCCTCCCAGCTGCCCAGCACGGAATCTAGAAAGAAGTCGCAGGGGCGCGCCACAAAGTTGGCATGCGCCCAGCGGATGACGATGAAAACCCACCAGACCAGCTGCCCCGCCAGCTGCCCCAACCGCGCTGCCGCGGCAGCGAGCATTGCTGAGGCGGGGTCGGGTGCTCTGGCGGGTGGCGGGTGGCGGCGGAGTTGTTGGGAGGCAGGGAAGGATGGCGGAGTGGGCGGCGCCTGCGCTCACGGGGCGCCTGTCCTCCCCCACTGCCAGTCGCCGTTCAATCCAAGCCGCCCAGCAGATGGTGCCCGGATGCTGGCACGCCCACTCTCACTCAATCGCCGGCCTGCACTGCTGCTGGGCTACAGTTACAGCTGCCGAATTGCCTGGAAGCACGCAATTGAGCGTGCGACAGTTTGGGGTTCCACCTGGCTGCCGCCGCCTCGTGCGCTGTGGCCACAACGGCGCACCCAAGCAAAACCTGTGTGCTTTGGCGCTGCTAGCTGCAAGAGACGAACACAGATGAGTGTGGGCTGGGAAATCAGGGATGGATCCGACCACCCTGCGATCGATGCCACCGCAGGATCTCCACGTGCCGCCGCAGGGTCCCAGCCCTGCTTCTGCCGCGGCGCCCCACGTTGCCTGGCTTTGCAGCTGCTAAGTTGCACAGAATTGCTTTGCTCAGCGCGGTCAACAGCTGAGCCATGCATTTGAATTGAGCAGATCATGTGTCAGGGCGTAAATCAAGTAACCGCAAAGCAAAGGAGGATACGGAGGTATGTCTGAAAGGTGAGGGCCGGGAACAGGAGCGGGACAAGACAAGTGCACCTGGGGAGAGAGCGTGGAGCAGCACAGAGAGAAGAGCACTGAAGAGGAGAGCGAGGCCTGGCACAGCGGCACCAGGCAAAGATCATAGCAGGGGAGAGGGGCTGGAAATGGGTGTTACGATTGACCTGACTGGCTGCTAGTGATTGTATGCGGTAGAGGCCTGCTGCTGCTGCTGCTGCTGCGCCTGGCGTTGCGGCCAGGGCTGGGTGCTGAGGCTGCTGCGGTGAGGGGCTGGCTGGCAGGCTGTCTGGCAGGCTGGCGCAGCGCCGGCCTGCCCGCGCCTGCCCGCCTTCCAACCGGCGCAGCTTGCTGCCCCCCCGAAGGCCAGAGGAGGAGATCAGAAGGTCTCCAGAGAGTGCGTCTGCGGGCGGCCGCGCGGCGGCGTGGGCGGCCGCTCCTCGTTGAGCGCCGCCATCCAGGTGTCTGCGATGCCCGGGTGCGGCGTGGGCGGGTCCTCCTCAATCTCGTCGCCGCCGCCCGCGGAGCCGGGCGTGCGCGGCGTGGAGGGCGGCAGCGGGTGGATCAGCTTGGGCACCATGACCAGGTCTCGCCCCAGCACCAGGATGGCGCCCGCGTTGTTGGCGGTGCCGCAGTAGTTGGTCGCGCTGCAGGGAGGGGGAGGGCGGGGGAGGAGTGGGGGCAAGCAAGAGCGCCGGCCAGGGAGAGAGCGGCTACCGTGACGCTCGGGTGCAGGGCCTGCAAAAGGACAGAAGCCCCACAGCCCTGCAGCCCCCCGCTCCCTCACCTGAACAGCGTGATGAGGTGCCCCTGGGCAAAGCGCTCAAAGCCATCCATCACGCACTCGTGCGCCCGCACAATCATCTGCAGGTCATTGTTCTGCGGGCGGGGCAGGGCGGGCGCGGCGGAGCAGGGTGGGACAGGGCGGACAGGGATTGGCAGCCAGGCAAGAGAGCAGGCTTGCGGCTGGCGCTGTGTCAAACTGCTGCTGTGCATACAAGCCATACCCCTTTGTTTGTCCCTGTGTTTCCGGCCCATCCCCACCCATCTGCTCAGGGCTAGGCAGGCAGGCCGCGGGGCGCCTCACCCTGCAGAACTCCATCACGCGGTCGGGCCCAAAGGTGACCAGGCCGGGGCCGCGGGGGCTGGGCTGCACCCCCTCCACCGCGTCGTTGGTGGTGGGGTCGCTCCACAGCAGGTCCATCAGCACGATGCCGCCGTCCTCCATGGTCAGCGGGCGCTGCAGCTCCTCTATCTGCTCGATGCTGTTGATGCTGCGCCCGATGCCGCCATGCATGCACAGCACCTGCGGGAGGGTGGATGGGTAGGTGGTGGGTGGGTGGCGCAGGCAGCGCAGGCGTAGTTGGCAGGACGCTGCCGCCAGCTTGCTGAGCACAAGGCGCAGCACAGACGAGCCCTTCCCTTCCCTTCCCAGGCCCCCAGCCCCGCCCGCACCTTGTCCTCTATGAGCGCCGCCAGCGGCAGCCAGTTGAAGAGCGTGTTGAGGCGCTGCCAGGCCTTGAGCCCCTGCTGGTCGCCCAGCCGCTCCAGGCACTCGAGGCGGAAGCCAAACAGGGCGTTGATGTCGGCGGCCTCGTGGTTGCCGCGGATGAGGTGCACGCTGCGCGGGTGCTCGATCTTCAGCGCCAGCAGCAGGCAGATGGTCTCCAGGCTGTGCGCACCGCGGTCCACAAAGTCGCCCAGGAACTGCAGGCAAGAGCAGGCAGGTGGTGGTGGTGGGGGGGGGCATGTCAGGCAGCGTTCAGCTTCGCCAGTCGGGCGCGAGGCAGGCAGCGTTCAGCTTCGCCAAGGCGCCACGGCTGCAGCACACCACCCATGCCAACATCCACCCAAACATGCAACGAGCGGCCCAGGCAGCCAGCGCCCTGCCCAGCACCATCACCACCACCACACCGCCACCACCCAGCGCACCAGGTAGTCGATGTATGTGATGTCGCCGGCGGTGGAGGGTGTGCCATACTCCTCAAACAGCCGCATGAGGTCGCCAAACTGGCCGTGCAGGTCGCCAAAGATCTTGATGGGCGCTGCGCCGGGCAGGCAGGCGGGGCGGCAGGCAGCAGGTGCTCAGCCTCGCCGTTCCAACCCAAGGCCCTGGGCTCCTAAGCTCAGTGTGATGCTCTGCTCAGGCTGCCCCCATCAAGGCAGCAAGCAGCACTGCTGTGCCTGCCGGATTGCCCCAGACGACAGAGCGGACCGCATGCACCGCACAGCGCCGTCTCCCACGCCGCCCCTGCACCCCGCTCACCCCGCAGCTTGAGCACGGAGGGCTCCTGCTGGAAGATGCGCTCCGCCTGGTCGCACAGCTGGCAGATCTGGTCGTAATTGAAGAAGAAGTCACGGGCGGCCGAGGGCGACCAGTGGCGGGGGTTGAGGAACTCGCGCAGCACCGCCTTGTGGATGCCCTGCAGGTGTGAAGTGAGGGCGGGTGGAGGGAGCACGGCAGGCAGGCGAGGAGGAGTCGGGGAGGCGCGCCAGCCGGCAGGTGTGGCAGCACAAAGGCAGCAGCACAGCCGCAGCAGCGAGGCGGAAGTCCGCCGTGCCTGGCCCTGCCCGCAGCCACCCTGTCCCCAGCCACCCCGCCCCGCGCCCACCCACCGGCTCGGAGAAGGTGCGCTCAAACAGCGGCGTCTTGTTGCGCACGGTGGAGGCCTCGCTGGCGCCGGCGCCCATGGACACGCGCCGGCTCTCGTTCTCAAACTGGTCGATGGACAGCTGTCGCACCAGGCCGCGCAGCTGGCCCTGCACGTCCTGGGCCACCACCACGGCGCGGTGGTAGAGACGCACGTCGGGGGTGGGCATGTCGCGGGTGGGCGGGAACTCGCCGCGCCTTCGCTGCGCCAGCGTCACCGATTTGGGGCTGTCGGGGTTTGCGGCACGCAGCTGCAGGGCAGGGCGCCAGCATGGGCGTGGCTGTTGAGCAGTGAGGTGGCAGGGAGGAAAGCTGCCTGGCCTGCCATGCAGTGCGGTTCTTCTTCAGCAGCAGCTAGCTGTACGGTACTACAGCACCCTGTGCCCCACCGCTCTGCTGCGCCCCGCACACTTTCCCCCGCCTCGTTCGCCGCAGGCGAGCTCCCCACCTTGTTGAGCCGCATGTTCTCATCCAGGTCCTCATCCAGGCAGCGCAGATCCTCCATGTTGCCCACCCGGCGCATGCTGAGCGCCGCCGCCGCCGCCGCCTCCTCCGCCGCCGCGTTGGCCAGCGCGGCCGCCGCCGCCTCGCTGCCGTGCATGCTGTTGATCCACTGCTGCCAGGCGGGGGAGCGGGGGTCGCACACCGACAGCTCCGAGCCGCTGCTGTCGTCCGCCAGGAGCACATCCTCCAGCAGGGTGCTGCCCTTAAGGCCGCCGTGCACAAAAATGTAGGGGCCCACAGAGGCCATGGCATGGCGGCACCGCCGCATCACGTCGTCCGAGTGACCCGTCTGCGCCTGCGTCAGCCACTGCCCCGCCGCCGTGTCCAGCACCACCACCGACGACGCCTCATCCACCATCTTGCCGCCGCCCAGCGCGCCGCCAAAGATGTGCAGCCGCGCGCCCACAAACACCGCGCCGTGCTGGTAGCGCGGGGAGGGCATGGTGCCGGGCGCAGAGGCCCACTCCCACCGCCCGTCCCGGTGGCGCGCCAGCCCAAACGCGTCGGCAAGCGGCGTGCCGCTCACGTCGCGCCCGCCAGTCAGCAGCAGCAGGCCGTCGGAGCGGGCGGCAGCGGTGGCATACATCCTGCGGAGGTGGGCAGTCAGCGAGTGGGCGAGGTGTGAGCGGCAGCAGCATGGCCAGGGAAGGGCAGGGAAGGGGAGGCAGGCCGTGCGTGAGCGTGCAGCTCTGCACCAACGGAAAGCGCCGCCACCAGCGCCAGCCACTCTGCACCCCATGCAGCCACGGCTGCGCCCCGATCTCTCACCCACCCCCACCCCACCACACACCTGGGCGGCGGGTCGTCCCCCGACTCGGGAATCTTGCGCCACTGGTACGGCTTCTCGCTGGTGTCCAGCGCCCACGAGTCAGCCAGCGTCTGCTTGCCGTCGTTGCCGCCCACCGCCACCAGGAAGCGGTTGGCCACCAGCGCCAGCGTGTGCGCGTACCGCGCAGACGGGCCCGCACCCGCCACCATCACCCTGCGCATGGGGTGGCCGGCGGGAGGGCAGCAGGAGGCATCAGCGCGGCTGCTCTTCAAGGCCACCTGTGCTGGCTGGCTGCCTGGCCGCAAGGTGCGCGAGAGCGCTGCCGTCGAGCCAGCCGCACTTGCCCATGCTGCCATCCATCCAGCCCGCCCCTCGAGCTGTGCTGCATCCCACACGCTGCGCATTGCCCAAGCCACGCTGCCCTGCCCTGCCCGCGCTTTGCCCCGCACCTGTGCCAGCGCGGCTTCTCCAAGTCTGTGAAGTCCAGCACATGCAGGTCCTCGGAGGCCAGCCCCGCGGGCCCGATGCCGCCCTGCACCACCACCATGTTGCCGACGGCGGCCGCCGCGTGCGCCGCGCGCGGCGAGGGCGGCTCGCCCTGCGGCGTCACCTTCTCCCACTTGCCGCTGCGCACGTCCATGATGTGCACATCGTTGGTGGCACCCGCCAGCCGGATGCCGGCGCTGGAGGGGCCGGGAGACGGCGGCGCGTCGCCTTTGGCCTGCCCTTCCAAAGCCGTGGCGCCACCTGCGGCAGCGGGTGGTGGAGGCAGCAGCACCCAGGTGAGAGGCGGCAGCACCCAGCAAGCCAATGCTGCGTGTGGGCTCCGGTGGTGCTGCTGCTGCTGCCGTGCTCTTGCTGCAACAGGGCAGAGCGGCCACCCACCAAATAGGACCAGCTTGGCGGAGCTGAGGTCACCATCCGGGCCTGCTATCGTGGTCAGTGTGTGCCCACACCTACAATCGAGTAGACAAACAATGGTAAGTGGTGGCCAGTCGGTTGCGGCAGTGGGTGCAACATGTGTGTTGGGGCACCCCAGACACAGCCCTGTGCTAGCCAGTAGGAGCCATGCTGTGCTCACCTGGGTCCGGGGTTGGTGCCGACTATGGGGAATGCCCGCACCTGCAGCAAAGCAAAGAGGCCTGACAGGCGTTCAACAGAGGGGCGGGTGGCGGCGGCGGCAGCGTGCACCCGTCCAGTGGCAGGTCAAGCGCGTGTGCGCTCAGGGCCCGCTGGGCTGTTCTAGCTTGGCAGCACATGCCCAGGCGAAGGAAGGCCTCTCCCCTGCAAGCACCCTGATTGCTGCCTGCTCCACACAACCCTCTGCCCCCGTCTGCAGCTGTCACCCACCCTGGGAGCAGGGGCCACAGAATCGAGGACAGACGGCCCAGAGTTGGGCGTCTCGGCAGAGGATGAGGGCGAGGGCGCCCCACCCTCCATTCTGCTTGGCGGCTGCCCTCCGCTTGCTGTCAGTGATCACCGCAGGACCTCAGGACCACAAACAGAGCTGGGCAGCTGCAGAAAGACCACGGTGTTCAAGCCGCCTAGTTACACTCGGTGATCGCTTGCGCTGAACAGCCCCTGACCCAACCAAGGCTTCAGTAAAAGTCGTGCACGGAAGCGGAGAGCTACTTTTCGCGCGGCCCATGCTGTGTGCCCAGCGTGCTGGGCTTGGCTGCAGGGGCTGGGACTTGGGAAGGAAGCTTGGCAAATGGAGGTGCAGCAGGGGCGGCTCTGTAGGCGTTCTATGCGATCCCAGGGACGTCGTGAGTCAGCCGGCATCAGCAGCGCAGTTGCCGACGCAAGGCGCCTGCTCGCCCGCCACCGCCAGCGGGCAACTGTGCTGCCGCCCTTCAAATATCAATGCATGTGCCTTCCCCCCTCCAAATATGTCCAAGTATTCCAATGAATGCTGTACATCTGTTCGAATGCGAATGAAATTTGATTGCACCTGATTCATGCCACGCAAAACTGGTAAGTCAGAGCCGACTTGCTGAATCAACTGAAAGTAAAGTGCGACGTGCCTTGGAAAACTGTGTTTCTGTTTTGACGTTGGATGCACCAGCATCAAGCGGCCGCCAGCTCATGCGCCATCGGCTGCTCACCCTCGTCGGCCGCCTGGGGTGGAGCGGCCACCGATGGGGCCGGCAAATCCCACAAGTCCTGGCCATTGCTCTCCGCAGTGTTCGCCAGGGTCCAGCAGCCTCCCTGGCGCCGCATCAGCTCCTCATGGGTGCCCTGCTCCACCACCCTGCCCTCGGCCACCACCACAATTACGTCGGCACGCCGCACGGTACTGAGGCGGTGCGCAATGATGAGGGAGGTCACGCCCTTCCCCGCCGCCTCCAGCGCCTGCGTCACGCCCTGCTCCGTCTCCACATCCTGCACCAGCGGCGCGGCAGCACGGGGCAATGGTGCTGGGGATTCTTGAGGAGGCCCAGCAATGAAATGAAGGGTGCGCAGCATCGCAGGCCCTCGGTTCACATGCCCATGGCAGCTGCGAGTCGGGCAAGGGCCGGCAGCGCGGAAGCCACGCACCAACGCCGACGTTGCTTCGTCGAAGATCAGCACCCGTGGACGCGCCAGCAGCGCCCTGGCAATGGCCAGCCGCTGCTGCTGCCCGCCGCTCAGCTCCATGCCGCTCCCGCTGCCGATGACGGTCTGGTAGCCGCGGGGCAGGGCGGCAATGAAGGCGTCGGCCTGCGCCGCGCGAGCAGCCCACTCCACCTCTGCGTCCGAGGCATCGGGCCGGGCGTAGCGGATGATGTCGGCGATGCGCCCCGTCAGCAGCCCTGGCGACTGCATCACCACGCCCAGCTGCCGGCGCCACCACTGCGACAACGGGGAAGAGAGAGAGACCAACATGGCGGGATGGAGTGTGGTGCTTGGAGCGAGGCGGAGGGAGGTTTCACCAGTGTGAAAAAAGCGCCCCCTTCCCACCGCCTGGGGATCCACCCACAGCTGACAGCCCCCACCCTCCCCACCTGCATGTCCAGCTGGCTGAGCGGCATGCCATCCACCAGGATCTCGCCCTGCCCCGGCTTGTACAGCCCCATCAGCATGCTGGCCACGGTGCTCTTGCCTTCGCCGCTGCAAGTGGGGACACGCATGGGCCGGGCTCACGGCTCAGCAACCTACTTAGCAGCTGGGGCGGGCCTGCCACCAGGCACACGCTCGAGTATCCAGAACGGCACAGGTGGCTGTGGCCAGGGCTGGCTGGCCTGCAGCCCCACCTGGGTCCCACGAGTGCCACGGTCTTCCCAGCGGGGATGCGGAAGCTGATGTCTTGCAAGGTCCATCCCGCCCAGCCAGGGTGGCTGAACTTGCAGCCCCGGAACTCAATGTCTGCCCGCCAGCCATCTGGCAGCTGCCGGCCCCGCTGCTGCTGCTCTACGCTGCCGCTGCTGGTCGATGCTGCTGCTGCCGCCGGGGCTGCAAGCACCGCCGCCGCCGCCTCGGGCGTGTCTGTGCCCAGCGCCTGCTGCATCGCCTGCATGGCGCGGTTGATGGCGCCCGCCGCCCTCGCCACGTCGCCAACCGTGTTGGTCAGGTTGCCCAGCGAAAAGGCAAAGCTGAAGCTGCTCGCAGGGAAGCAGGGGGCAGCGAATGGGTGCCCGGATCATTGGACAGCTGATCGTTGAGAGCAAGTCATGCAAGTTGCAGGGGCTATGCACCTGAAGACAAAGAAGCTGTAGCAGGTGCCCAGGGAGACGGCCGAGTGGAGAGCCATGTAGGCACCCAGGCCCAGCGTGGCCAGCACGCACAGCGTGTTGCGCAGGCGGCTTGACCCATCCAGCACCGCCTGCAGGCGCAGCACCTGCGGCAGCAGGCAGCAGGGGAGGGGGGAGGCAGCAAAGTGCGGCGGTCAGATGGCAGCAGGCGGGCCACAGATGCACCTCCCACTTAAAGCGCTGCCAACCGTCACCACCCGCTCGCCCACCCACCTTGAGCGCCAGCTGGTGTGCGCCGTTGAGCAGCGTGTCAAAGCGGCGCAGCTCCCGCTGCTGCTGCGCAAACAGCTTCACCACCCGCATGTTCTCCACGATCTCGTCCGCGGCGGCAGACACGTTGGCGGCGGCGGCCTGGGAGGCCTTGGAGGCTGCTCCGATGGAGGCGGAGAGGCGGGTGATGAGGGGCGTCAGCAGCGGCGCCGACACCAGCAGCACCACAGCCAGGGGCCAGGAGAGGGTGAAGAGGACGATGATGATGCCGATGGTCTCAAAGGCGCTGCGGATGCCGCGTGCGCCCAGCAGCTTGGCCACCGTGCTCTGCGCGGCCAGGGCGGGGAGGGGGAGAGGGCGGGGCGCAGGGTGAGGACCAGCAAAGCTCGAGAGGCAGGCCAAGAGGCGGGCCACCCACACCACGCCAGCATCTGGGCAGGGCAGCAGCCGGGCGCCCAGCCAGCCAGCCAGCCACCCACCTGCAGGACCTCCACGTCCTGGCCCAGCCAGGCAGCCATCTGGCCCGTCCGCACTTGGTCAAAGAACAGCGTGTCACGCGACAGCAGCGCGCCAAACAGGCGGCAGCGCAGGCGGTGCGCCAACCCCTCGCCCAGCGCCAGCGACAGGGCCACCTGCGGGTGCAGGAGGCGGCAGGTAGGGCGGGTGCCACGTGAGACGGGCGAGCAGAGGCAGCAGCCGGTGGCATGCCCGCAGCGCACGTGCATCTGCAGCGCACGTCCACAGCACGCCCACGCCACCAACACGGCGCACACACCTGCACAGCCAGGCAGGTGTTGCTGACAACGTACACCGCGCCCAGGCGGCCAACAGCCAGCCCCAGCTCGCGGGGCGTGGCGGCGCTGCCGCGGCTGATGATGTCCACCACTCGGCCCAGGGAGGGAGCCACCAGCACGGCGGTGGCCACGGAGACAAAGGTGACGGCGATGCACGCAACCAGCCGGCGCCGGTCATGCTGCAGCAGCTGCCAGAGCTCCGACAGGCTCAAGCCGACGGCGGCGGCAGGCACCGGGGCCATCGCTGCCCCGCCAGCTGAGCCCTCGTCTGCTGGTGCTGGTGCTGGAGCTGCGGTAGCGGCGGGGCGGGTGGCGCCCCGCTGCCATCGCTGTTGCTGCCTTTGCCGCTGCTGCCCGACCATCGATTCTGCTGCCGCATGATGGTTGCTCCTGTGCAAAAATGTGGGGGCTACGCGAGGCGCAAAACGGCCCAGGCTGGAACTGCTGAAAGCACGTGGGCGCCTGGCGGCAGTGGCGGTAACGCGGGGTGGCGCCGCCGGCAAGTGTGCCACACCATGACACCACATGGAGTCACCAAACTGTCAATTAGATGGTCTTGAGGCTCTGGGCGCACCGTGTGTGGCTGGTTGCACTCTGAAGGCGCCGCAGTATTGTGCCGCCCAGTCCAGCACCACGCAGCTGCTGTGTGCGCCTAAAAATATGATTGTGAGAGCAAACGCAGCTGGGAATGGCGCGGGAATGGCCGAAAGGTTTGCTAGCAGGGTGAGGTACGGGAGTAGTGCCCGACAGGGTGCCCTTTGCGCTCTCCCGGCCACGACAACGCCTGGCTTTGCACTTCTTGATGTGTGGCGTGCAGCAGCTGGAGCAGGGCAGGTTTCTGCGTTTTGAGCTCCTCCACCAACTTTCGCTGGTTGGGGATTTCAGGCTTGCCGGCTCCCACCGCCTCGCTGAACGACACCCAGGGCGGTTCTTGGCAGCCTTAGGGGCCGATGCTGCCGGAGCCCCTTCGACTTGGAGGAGAGAAGGAGAACGTGGGCGCCTTCCCTGCTGCAGCCAAGCCGTTCGCGGCACCCGGCCTGGGGGCCCAGCAGCGGCAGCTCGACGGCGTCAGCGGCGGCGCCGCCATGCCCGCCGCTAATGCAACGCTTCTGGCGGGAGCCGTGCAGGCGGATCACGCTGCTGTCAAACGCTTGGCACCAGTCGTGATCGATTTGGTGGGTGCAGTCAGGATTGATGCAGTGCCACCAACCGCAGCAGCTGCCAGCCCCACCGCCGAGGTGGTTGACCTCCTTAGCGATAGCGACGCCGAGGAAGCCAGCAGCCCCGACTGCGGTGCTGCCCCGCGTATGCCACCCCGCCCTGGCAGCGTAATCGATCTCTGCGCCAGCGACAGCGAGCTGGAACCTGCGCAGCAGCAGCAGCAGCAGCAGCAGCATGCAGCACGCGCTCCGCAGCAACAGCAGGAGCAGGAGCAGCAGCACGATGGGCAACATCCGCAGCAGCAGGCACCGCGGCGGGTGCCAATGCGGGGGCATGGCGCCGCTCCACGGCCCAGGCCGCCAGCAGTGCCCCTTTTTTCGGCAGCAGTTAAGCAGGAGCATGGGCCCGCAGCGGCGGTGGCCGTCCAACAAGAGCAGCCAGCGACGCGTGAGGCGGCACATGAGCACAAGCACGCGCTACCAGCGGCGGCGAAGGAGGAAGCAGCAGCACCCCGGCAGCCGCCCTCGGCCTCAACTGCCAGCGGCAGCCTGTCTGTCAGTGAGGTGGAGGATGGCAGCGTCCTGGCTTCATCAGAAGAAGATTCGGGCAGCGAGCTAGAGACGGAGGCGGAGGAGTCCAGCAAGGCGGAGGAGTCCATCGGTGCCACCCCTGGCAGAAGCGGGAGCTTGGAGCCTGAGGTGCAGGCGCAGGAGAGCATCGAGGGGCTGCAGGCGCAGGAGAGCAGCGAGGGGCTGCAGGCGCAAGGCGCGGAGCGGCAGGAGCAGGACGCGGGTGAGCGCTCTTGCAGCGAGCAGCAGCCCATGGATTGGGAGGGCAGCCCCGGAGCAGATGCAGCTTGTGGGTGTGCACCACAAGAAGCAGCCATGCTCGAGGATGCAGCTGCTGCAGAGGGCGACACCGACAGCGGCGCGGCAGTGGGTGCAGCCGCGGAATGCAGCTTGCCCACCACCGAACCCGGCAGCGAGCAGCTGGACAGCCTGCCTGGCACGGTGGAGGTTGAGGGCGTCTCAGCCTGCAGTGAGCACGGTAGCGGCAGCCTGGCGGCAGCCAGCGACCCGGCTGGTGGTCAGCAGCCAGCCGTGGCACCCGTGGCGGCAATCCTGGAGCTTCACCAGGAGCAGCATCAGGTGCGTCCCTTGGACCCCCCTGCAACGGCAGCGGCCGCGGCAGAGGGAGAGGATGCAGCGGCAGCGGCCGCTGTGGCGGGCACTTTGGAGGCCTTGGTGGTCGCCTGCGAGGTGCATGCGGCGGCAGCACCGCAGCGGCACTCGCTGCCGCAGCACATGCCCCCCGGCAGGTCACGCCTGGCCAACTTCTCCCCTAATCTGCAGCGCCTGGCCCAGCGCATCGCAATGTATGCCAAGCGGTCAGACTCGTCTGCAAACCGCACCAGTGGGACAGCGCCGGCAGCAGCGGCGGCAGCAGCAGCAGCCCCAGCAGCTGCAGTTGCAACAGCGGCGGCTTCCGGGGGCTCTGCACAGGCCGACGACGACGGCATGCCCGATCAGAGCGACGCGGGAGCCATGCTGCACTGGCTGCGCAGCCGCATCCCAGCGCATCTGCTGGACCAGTACAAAGAGCCACACCGGGTGCGAGCTGCTTTTGGTCCAGTGCCTGTTCGCCTTCAGGCAGGCCACCAGCAGCCAGGCTAGCACCAGCCAGCTCCAGCCAGCCGCCTGCTTGTTGCTCGCATTCTGCCCTTGCCCGACCCTCGCCGGTGCCTGCTGCCTACCGCGGTGCTCCCCCTCCCTGCAGGTCAGCGACGAGGAGCATGCTGTGGCCCTGGAGCGGCTGGAGGTGTATGAGCGAGAGATCACGCGTGTGCAGCGGGCGGGCAAGACGCGGGTGAGGGCCCGGGGCTCGGGCAGCGGCGCTGGGCAGCTACCTGCCTGGGCAGCCGCGTGTTGTGTGCCTGCTGCCTCTTCAGCCCCAGCTCGTTGAACAGCACGTCGCACCTGGTAGGCAAACCCCGGCTCGCTGCCTCTCCCGTCCTGGCTGCCCACAGAGCAAGTTCGACCTGACCGCCGCCAGCCAGCTGCCGTCCATCTACCCTCAGTGGGGCCTGTGGGAGAAGACGCACGGGCACAAGCCGGGCGTGCGGCTGGGCCAGCGGTTCAAGGGCCGCGGCTGGCTGCAGGCGCTGGGCCTGCACACCAACTACTACGCTGGCATCATGTTTGAGTGAGTGTGCTGCATGGCTCGGCTCGATGGGCTCGAAAAGCAGCATTTGTCGTCTTTGACTTGCGCATCTGTGCGGGTCGGATTTCACGGAACTTGCCACACCGTTGCGCCTTGCAGCACTGGCGCCCCTGCCTACGCCATCTGCCTGAGCGGCGGATACGAGGACGACGACGACCACGGTGCGCTTGCGCAGGGCGCTGTGGTTGGGTGTGGTGCGGCATGAATATGAGTTGGTGGGGTGCTGTCCCGCCCAACTGCCCCTCCAACCCCTCCCTGCTGTGCCCCTGCCGCAATGCAGGCGACTGGCTGTGGTACACGGGCCAGGGCGGCAGGGATGGCGCAAACGGCACCCAGGTGCGCAGCGCGGAGCGCGCAGACCTGTGCCGTGATTTCCTGCAGCGGCAGGGCGCCAGCGCATGCTGCCTCTGCCTGATCGTGCTGCCGCTGGCTGTGCAGGGCAGGGACCAGGAGTGGACCAGGGGCAATGCGGCCATCCGGGAGTGCATGGAGCAGGGCAAGCCGCTGCGCGTGTGCAGGGCGGTGCACGTGGAGGAAGAGTGAGTGGGAGCGGCTGCAGCCTGGGCCCTGCCTCACCCATCAAGTCGTGTCTGCCACGCCGGGTCTTTGGCTGCTTTGCGCCTGAGGTGGGCGCAGCACCCTGCAGCAGGCTAGGTCTTACCGTTCTGTGCGCGATGGTGCTTGTAGGGTGCATGATGCCAGCACGGGGCAGACCAAGGTGCTCAAGAAGACTTTATACACGTGAGCCCTGCCAAACCAGCTGGTCATCTTGCCTCCGGCGTGTTGATGCTGGGCCGGTTTGGCCCACACTCACACCCCATTCGATGATCTGGTGTGTGCGCTGCAGGAATGACGGCCTGTACGCTGTGGTCAAGGCTCAGCGTGCGGTGGGACGCGGCGGCAAGGCGCTGGTCTGCAGGTGAGCCGTCGCCACCACCTGCTTCCACCTGCTCCCTGCTCCATCTCATACACGCCATAGCATGCAGCATGTTCCTGCAGCCAGCGTGGATTACCTCCTGGCTGCATGCAACCCCTCCTGCCCTCCCTCCCCACACACACATCATGGTCATCACATCCTTCACCTCACCCACCCTGTTCTGCGGCGCAGGTTCCTGCTGGTGGGCATCCCTGGCCACTACAAGGCCAACAAGAGCGTGTCTTTTGTGGAGCTGCGCGGATTCCGGGACAAGCTGCGGCTGGCTGGCTGGGCCGACGAGTCGGATGAGGAGAGGGATCAGGAGGAGGAGGAGGACGAGGCAGGCTGCTCTTACATGGACGCCCGCCACAAGCGTAAGCGATCTGCCTTGCTGCTGGCCTGGCCCTTGTCTTGTCTTACCTTGCATGGGCAGTGCATTGCGTTGTGCTTCCCAGCGCTGCTAGTAGTTGTGACAAGTCCATACCAGTAAACGGTCGCTCGCTCCACTCACCCAGCGACTTGGACTGTGTTGCTGCGCTGTGCAGGCCAGAAGACGCAGGCGGCTACCACCGCTGATAGGGCGCGCAAGGCGGCGGCGGCGGCTGCCACTGCGGCGCCCAAGGCACGGAAGAAGAAGGCCGGGAAGCAGGGGTCGGGCCTGCAGGCCGCCCTGGTCCCCGTTGTGCAGGACGGCGCCTGGCTGGCAGCGCAGCAGCGCCGCCCCGGCTTCTTGTGCGCCGACATCAGCGGTGGTGTGGAGAAGTACCAGGTCCCTGTGTTTAATGAGGTGGATGACGACCCGCCGCCGCAGGGCCTCACCTATGTGCGGTGAGTGACTGGGCGCCGCGTCGTGCAGCCGCGCTGCCTGTCGTGCTGCGCGTGCCTGCCACGCCAATCTGCTGCTGCTGCGCTCGGTGCATCAAGCAAGCTCTGCGCCCTGCCTGTCGCCGGCGCCTTAGCGGTGTGCGGTGCTGGTGCTGGGTGCAGGGACAGCATTGTGGGCAGCGCCGAGGCGCAGCGGCTGCTGGATCTGGGGCTCAGCCTCATGCCCAGCGAGTGGTGTGGGCTGGACAGGGGAGATGCCTCGGGCATCTACCTGCCGGATGGCCGCATGAAGTTTGTGAGCAACGAGCCGCGCCGATGCCTGCCTTGCGCAGCCAACGCTTTGCTTGCACCATGCGGCTGGGTTTCTGGCATGTGCGCCTACTTGGGGGATGCCGAGCAGCGGACGGAAGGGAACCGCCTATGCCTTCAGCCTTTCAAGTAGTCCCCAGTGTGACTGGCTGACCCAGCAGCAGCAGCGGAGCTATCACTAGTCGCTGCTTGCCGCTGGCACTGGTGGCTACACCAATCAGAGAGATAGTGTGCATGCCGGGCCGCCCAGCACACCCATGGATGAGTGGCATCCGCGCTCACTTCTTGCGCGACCCTGCCTGCAGACGAGGAGCGAGGGGCATTGGGAGTGCTTCCCCGGCTGCCAGAGGCAGGAGCAGTGCAGATTCAACCGCTTCATCAGGTGCGGCTGGGTGGAGGAGTGCTGCAGGCGCACCGCAGTCGCCAAGCCACTGTGGCTCTGGTGTGGGCGCTGCCTGAACGCTGGCCCGTTGTGTTTCAGTTTTTTCCTGGCCGACAACTCAACGCATCCTGTTGGCACCAACTGTCCTGCTACTGCTGCTCTGATGTTGATTGTTGATTGTGTTGCCCTGCCTTATGGCTATGCCCCTCTCCGCTGCCCTCCTCTCATGTGTGCAGCGAGCGCGGCCTGGTGCTGCCGCTGGAGATCTTCCGCACAAGGGGCAAGGGGTGGGGCGTGCGCTGCGCCCGCGACATCGCTGGCGGCTCCTACGTCTGCAGCTACGAGGGCGTGCTGCTGGCGCACAAGGAGGCGGTGAGCGCAGCTTCCCCGCCATTCTGCTTCCCCGGGCTGCCTTGGCGCCCTTCTCTGCTGTACCCCTGGCTCTGCCCGCGCCACCCCTTGCCCCGGGCAAAGCTGGCTGCTGAGTGGAGCTTGGGCACTTTTCCTTACCGGCTCCTCGCCTGCCCCTTGCCCCAAGCCCCTCCGGTGGTGCAGGAGAGCCGGCGCAACGACGCATACCTGTTTGACCTGGAGCACTTCTTCCTCATGCACCGAGACCCCAGCATGAAGGGCCAGCGCCGCCAGCGCCTGCCCCCGCTGCCCGCCGACGTGCGCCCCGGCCAGGAAGACGACGACGACGAGGTGTTGGTCATTGATGCGGCAAGCACTGGTGGGTTGGGCCTTGGGAGGGCGGGATTAAGCGGGCATGCCAGCGGCTGTGCGCTGGCTTGCATGTGGCCCAGCCATGTGGCGCCTTTGCAGCCTCTGCGCCGAGTCGCTCTCATGGCTCCCCTGCCATCCGGCTGCAGGCAACTTGGCCCGCTTCATCAACCACAGCTGCGAGCCCAACCTGGTCCTCAACCCCGTGCTGCGCCCCGGGGACAGCGGCATGCGCTACTGCGTGGCCATCTTTGCTGGGCGGTGAGCCCCCGACCGCGTGCGAAGTGTAGCTGTCGGCCTGGCTGGCCGGCCAAGCCTGCAAACACGCAGACCACGGCAGCGTCGCTGCGCGCGTGGCCACACCACACACCTGCCCCGCTGCTGGCTGCTGCTGCAGGGACATCCCGCGTGGCACCGAGCTGTGCTACGATTACGGCTACAAAGTGGGCAGCGTGGCGGGCAAGGAGATACCTTGCGGCTGCGGCGCCAAGAAGTGCAAGGGGCGCCTCCTCTGAGATCGCCGCATGAGCAGGCAGCAGTTACTCTAGACCAGTGGGCGACTGCCCTTGCATTCAGTAGGCGGCACTTAGGCCCCCGCGCACACTCAGCACACTAGAACAGCGTATGGCCCCAGTTCCGCCTTGATCTGCACACCTCACTGTCTACTGTCTTGAGACATCTACACCATTCTTTCAGCTTTCCTGTACATTCAGACGCTTGTGTTCACACATCCTTTGATCCGTGCTCATATCCAGTGAACCCCTGCCCCTCAGTGTTTCCAGCATCTCGTTCCTTCAGTTTTCCGCTTTAAATGCAACCCGTTATCTTCTCAACTCCTCATGAGCAGCAGATGCATCAACAGCAGCAGCCGCCCCTTCCGCTTCTTGCAGCGCCTCTGGCGGGCACATGATTCTGCCAAGGTCGTAGCGGCACACACCGCCGACACGCAGCTGCTGCTGGGAGCGCGGCGTCTCGGCAGCATCCAGAATCAAGTGGATTCGGGGCTGGTCGCCGCCGTTGGTCACATAGTGCAGCAGCCTGTTGTTCAGCTCAAACACCAGCCCCTCCTCCACGTGGATGGCTGGGCACTCCTGCTGCCCCTGCACAAAGGTGATGTTACGAGCGATGGCGCCCGCGCGCGACTCGCACACATGAAAGGCCACATCTGCGTGCAGCACAGTAGAACGGTGTCTGTTGGTTGGTGAGAAGTTTGATGTACACAACGGATCTTGCATAGATGGCCCTTGAAGAGTCTTGTAAACATGTTGTGCTGCGGCAAAGGTGCATCAGGCACCCCAAGCCATCTCACCCGGGTTGGACTGCACCACCACATGGATGCGGTGCCCGACGGCAGCATACCCGCCGCTGTCCATGTGCCGCTTGATGTCAGAGTGCGGCGGCATGAAGGCCAGCTGCAGGCGCATGACCTTGTCCAGGTCGCCCGGGCCCAGGACCTGCGGGGGGCACACGCAGGCGAGCCGGCGCTTCGGACACCGGCCTTGGCATCGCACGGTGCAAAGCGCGCTGTCGGGGCGCCTGGGAGCAGCCCCTTTCAACCCAACACCCGCACCTGCACCAGCCAGGGCTCCACCCACTGCTTGAAGTGGTCGTACCAGGGGAAGCGCAGCACCCCGCCGCCGTGCTGGTCGCTGAAGACCAGCATGACGGAGCGCGCCCCCGGCTTGAACTCGTTCAGGTTCCGTGCCCGCCCATCGATCCAGGCATTCAATGCGCGCTGCGTCTCCTCTGCAGCGGGCAGGGGGCAGAAGGGATCGGCAGGCAGGGAGGCATCCATGCGCCAGGAGGCAACAGATGGTGGCAGTTCAGGCCACAGGGCTGACAGGCGCTGGGCGACAGGGACTGGCTCCCCGTGCAATCCTCCTGCCCTGCCACGCACCGCCCCAGTCGTCTTCCGACAAGCCCCGCAGCGCCGCCTTGAGGCCCGAGGTGTCGGTGCGGAGCAGGCGCAGCTGCGCCCCCGCTGCCAGCCCGTGCTCCTTGTCCTTGGCGCTGAGCAGCAGGCGCGGCAGGCCGCTGGACCAGCGCACGGGGTCGAGGCGCGGCGGGAACTGCACAGGATGCAGATGGGAGGGGAAACGTGAAGCAATTTTTGGTGGTGTGTGATGGGAAACTCCAGTGCATGCATGCATAGCTCATTGTGTTGCTTTCTGGACAGATGAGCTGCCAAGTCTGCGTCTACACGCGCCACTCACGGGCGCACCTTGGCGAGGGGGTCGTCTGGCGACAGCGGCGCCGCTTGGCTCAGCGACTGTACCACGGGTGGCTCACCCGCCGCCAGAGACGAGGGTGACAAAAGAAAAACGAGCGCAGCAAGCACCAGCATTAGGAGCAACTGACATGCAACATATGCTTTGCGGCTATTGGCAGACGGCGGTGGCGGCGGTGGCGGGGTTGCGGCGGGTCTTCTGCGCCGCTCTGCTGATGTTGGCCGATAACCACAACGTCAACGGCCACGGGCGAGGTGTTGCTGTGTCCTGCAAGCGAGCGCAATGTGCAGGGGAAACCCTGCGCATGTCAAATCCTGTGCTCGGCACCCGTTTTGGCTATTCGGCACGTGTTTTAGCAATTATGGAGACTTATCAAGAGAGAGACACAACAGGATGCAACAGGGTTGAGAGCGCTGCACGATGGCACTGCCATCAGCAGACGAATCCTCACCAGTTGAACGGAAACCAGGAGACGAAGTGCGGGAGTAAAGGAGGAGGATTTAGTGAGGAATGAAAGTTGAGGGGACATCACCGCAGCCACCTCAGCCTCCCGCCGCCGCCTGCAGCTCGTAATGCGCTACGGCGAGAGCCGCCACAGGTAGGCCTCCCGATCACCGGTCCCCTCCTGGCGGGGGTCATGCATCCCCCACCCATCATGCATTTCAGGCTTCATCTCCCTCAAACCTCCACCATTTTCCCTCTCGTTTGTCGTGATCGACTCCGGGTAGCCCAAATGCTTCATGACTCCCCCCAAGCTGCACATCAGCGTGCATGAGTCCAACCCTGGGAGGCGCCTTGACAATGAACAGCCGCGCAGGCAGGCATCTAAAAGACCAGGTCAGGCTCCTCCTATAAATCATCCCGGGCAGCGCAGCCGGCGCCATGCCGAGGCGGGGCCAAACACCTCGAGCAGCAGCGGCTGGTGGAGCGAGCGGCAGCAGCGCAGGCACGATGCTTGGGACGACAGGAGAGAGGCGGACGAGCAGATGATGCTGGCCACCACACCGCAGCGGGCGGCGCTGCAGGCGGGGCAGCGGGCGGCAGAAATCCAGCAGGTTCAGGCGCGGCTGGACAGCACGGAGCCACTGCGCTGCTGGCCCACAGCTGGCCGGCATGACGGCACTCTTTGCTGTTTCAGGAAGACTGGAACCATGCCGGCCGTGTATCACGGCCTTGGCGGCGTGGCGGGCTCCCTCGTG